GTGTCTCTGTGTGGGTGTGGTTGTGTCTCTCTTGTCTCTGTGTCTGTCTCTGTGTGGGTGTGTGTCTGTGTGGGTGTGTGTCTCTGTCTCTGTGTGTGTGTCTCTGTGTGGGTGTGGTTGTGTCTCTCTGTCTCTGTGTCTGTGTGTGTCTCTGTGTCTGTGTGTGTGTGTGTGTGTGTGTGTGTGTGTGCAGCTGGCATTCAGGCAGCAGTGTGTGTTCAGCGTGTGGGAGCTGCGATGGAGCGGTGTGTCTCCCGTCTCTCTGCACTGTGTGTTCTCGGCTGCTTTCGCTCCTGCAGACGCTCCGGACACGGCGCTCAAACCCTACAGATATGACTTCGCTTTGGAGCGAGTTTCGGTGAGTGCAGACGGATCTGATCTGAGCCGTGTGTGTGGCTGCATTCCACTTAGGATTGTGCGATATATATTGTCTGCGATAATAACAAAATTGTTGTTTTAACGATGTGCGATTTGACATTAGAGTATTTTGTGAAAAGCAAACAAAACACATTTACATAGTGCATGCATACATCACGTGATGAAGTCTAGTGAGTTAAACTAGTGCACGTGCGCATTTACAGTGCGTTCTTTCACTGCATGATTCAGTCTATTAAAATGCATTTAGAATGATTGCATAATTCAAGACATGGGGACAGAAAATGTATATATTTATATCATTCCATATAGTTAATCAATATCACACGAAGAATGCCTTTTTTCTCCAAAAATCAGCTTGATTACAAATGTGATATAGAATTTATACAACAGTTCAATAAACAAGAAGTTAATATTAAGAGACTTACGTTTTAGACGCCATATTGCCTGTTTTTGCGCTATTTCGGCAACAAAAAGTTCGGCTCTTTTCAAAGATTTGGCTCTTACGGCTCCCAAATGGCTGCTCTATTTCGACAACAGAAATAATTCCAAACACAGCCACAGCACTGTTTTGCGTCTCTGAGCAACACGACGGTGTTTGGTTCCTGAATGAATCAGCTGTTTAAATGATTCGGTTCAGTCGCAGTGACTCACTTATTAACAGTGACTTGCTGCCACCTGCTGGCGGTTTTAATTTCACATTTAAAGTTTCTTTTAATTTTTAAATAATTTCAAATATCAGTATTTGACGTTTTATGTTTAAAATATCAAAATGTTATTTATGTTTTTGTAACGGCAGGTTACCATGTCTCTCAGAGCTGCATTAAACAGTGTGTAAATACATAATACTAAATGCCACTTCAGACGCAGCTTCTGTGTTTCCTCTGCGTTGCAAAGATGAATTTTATTGATACTGATTTCATTTGCTTGGTAACAACCCAAATGTCTTATTATTCTAACTGACTGGTTAAATGTTTTTTGGAAAAAATGGCTTTATAAAGGTAAAAATGCCCATGTGTGTGTGTCTGTCTGTGTCTGTGTCTGTGTGTGTGTGTGTGTCTGTCTGTGTGTGTCTGTGTGTGTGTGTGTCTGTGTGTGCGTGTGTGTGTGTGTCAGACTCTGTTGAGTGTGTGTGCAGAGATCCGGCCGGCGGAGGGAGAGCGGCACTGTCGCACCGGTTCTCTCTGCAGGCTGGAGGTGTCTCTGACGCGTCTCTCTGAATCCAGCGACTCAGACGAGGAGTGCAGCGACACCGACGGCCCGCGCACCACCAGGCTCCTGTATGAAGGTACAGCTCAGCAAGACACTGGGGTTTGTCAAGTCAAGTCACCTTTATTTATATAGCGCTTTTAACAATACAGATTGTCTCAAAGCAGCTTTACAGTGTTAAATAGGAAAATATTGTGTCAATAATGCAAAAGGATAATAGTAAACACTCAATTTTCAGTTCAATTCAAGTCAAGTCAAGTCTGCTTTATTGTCAATTCTTCCACATGTACAGCACATACACACAGAGAATTGAAATTGCGTTACTCTCAGACCCTTGGTGCATACAGATAACACTAACAGTAGAACATAAATACAGATAGATACAGATCAAATATAAAATACAACTATACTAATATACAAATAAGGTAAAAATGTAAAAAAAATTTAAAAAAATATATAAAGCAGCACGCATGGCAGATAGAGTGCAAACCAGTGAAGTAAACAACAGTGCAGATATAATGATTGTAGTGCAAAAAGAGCTTATTCAGACTGATTAAAGTGACAGTGTGTGTGTGTATTTGGGCACCTGCAATGCAGAGGGCTTTGCGGGTGAGACGGGTGTTGTAAATTCATCGTTGAATTCAGTGATGTTATCATCCAGCTTAGTTCAGTTTAAATAGTATCTGTGCAATCAAGTCGACGATATCGCTGGAAATGAAGTGTCCCCAACTAAGCAAGCCAGAGGAACCAAAACTCCATCGGTGACAGAATGGAGAAAAAACCTTGGGAGAAACCAGGCTCAGACAAAACCAGCAGTTCAGTTCCATGCTGCAGCAAAGTCAGATTGTGCAGAGGACAATCACTGTGTGCGTAGTTAATAAGCACGCTGACATCACCCATAGCAACGAGCTCAGCCCCGCCCCCTTACTCTGAGCTTAAGACTTCTCTCTGTTCCTCAGTACAAGTTTGTCTCAGCAGCTTTGTGAATAGAAAATTGGAGTTGGGATAACCTTCAAAACCAAAAAAGATGCATGTGAAAACGTGTGCAAATAAATGCAGTGTGTTTCTAAAATGTTTATGTTCCGAGGCAGGTTGCCGGAAACAGCAGTTTTAGGATAGTTTGTGGTTTAGGAGTCCTCTTCACTGCTCCTAACCTTTCACAGATTTAGGAGCTAGTTTTAGCACTAAACACTTTGTGAAAATATAATAAATGAAAATTTGATTAAAATACTACAATTCCTTTACAACAAAACATTGCATTTTTTATTTTTACTTCTATTTTTATTTTCCTTTTATTTTATTAAATGCTACAATTCAGAGGTTACTGTATAGCTTAATATTTTAGGTTTAATTGTGCTGTGATACGTTTTCCCAACTAGGACTTGTGATTTAATAAATAGCTAATGATTAAAAAACAACAATTTCTTTAGAACAAAACATTGCCGTTTTATTTTTGTATTAAGTGCTGCAAAACAGAGGTTTAGTGTATAAATGTACAGTATGTTGTTATGTTTTCCAGACTTTTTGTATATTTCATATTTATTTATTTGTGTTTATATTAGTGCTGTCAAATGATTAATCGCATCCAAGATAAGTTTTTGTTTACATAATATGTGTGTGTTCTTTGTATATTTATTATGTTTATATAAATACACACACACAGTAAATATTTAGAAAATATTTACATATATTTATTTTCTTATATATTTTTCTGAAATATATACTGTATGTGTGTGTATTTATTTATACATAATAAATATACACAGTTCACACATATTATGTAAACACACATATTATGCAAACAAAAACTTTTATTTTAGATGCGATTAATCGTTTGACAGCACTAATATATGGTATTTTAGGTATTTAAGGTCTTGCATCTTCTAATACTTAATTTAATAATTAGAAAAATGCATGTTACAATGGTCACCCCAAATGACATATAAAGAAATACAAAACAAAACTGTCTTTTTAAATCATCAGTTTTAAAATGTAAAGAGGTTTTTTTTAATCCATGACTATTAAAATAATAATGATTTTTTTATTATTACTATTATTAAAAATGTAAACAATAAAATAATAAATTTTAATAATGCTGTTGTACTGTAAAGTTATTTAATACTTTTTTATACTTTATTTTGAATCATCATTTTTTAATAATGTAAGGATGTTTTCCTTTAGTGTTTGGCTTTAGTTGTATAAATAATCGAGATGATTACCTGTGTTTGTGAACAACAGTAACTGGGCGGTGTGCGGGAAGAGTTCAGGGGTCGTTTCCATGCCGGTGGCTGCCATGGCGACACACAAGGTTCACATGGAGGTCATGCCGCTGTTCGCGGGTCACCTGCCGTTTCCCAACATCCGTGTGTTTAAGTACCTGCCACACCACAGCAGCCCCGTCATCCCACCTGACACAGGTCAGACACCATGATGCTCTCTGCTTCTGTTTGATGCTTTAGTGTCAAGTGATGCTTTCATCACATTAAACTCTTCTGCTTTTATGAATGAATCCAGAGATGCCCAAAGCTGGCCTTTGATTTTGGCCCATCATGACATCATAAGAGGAGGGGAAAAACATGCCATTGAAGCATATTTTCATTTCAAATTGATATATTGTTATATACAAATTAATAAATTAAAACACAATAAAAAACAACTTAATTTAATACATTTTAATGCAATATAATTGGATATGATGCAATATTTATTTTTGGCTCATGACCCTCAATGAAGTTTGTTTTTTGGTTGTTTGTATTTAATCAGTGTTTTAATATGTAATCAAATGAAAATACAACAATTACTTTACAACAAAGCACTTTTTATATTTTATTACTGTTTATTTATTATTGTTATTATTATTATTATTATTATTATTATTATTAAGTGCTGCCC